GAGGGTGGCTCGCAACTGTTACATTTCAAAGGCCAGTTTGGGAAAGGAAAGTAGCGCGGTTGTTTCTTTGGAAAGAGTAACTTAGTTGCCAAAATTTGCTATATCCTGTTCCAGGAGTTCCAATGAAGCAATTTAGTGCTACTTTAGAGTTTCTTACTTTGTTGTGTTTTGATTTTCTGCCCTTTTAAACCGTGTTGGAAATAGCTTTAAATTCCAGTTCCGGTTACATAAAATTATCTTGGTTGTAAGCTGTGAACCTTACCAGGGGATCTTAGGAGGGTCCCTCTCTCAGTCTAACCTAAGCTGAACTCCCAAATCAAAGGGATTTGGGTTTTGTTTTGTTGGGGTTTTTTTTAGTGGGAGGAGACTACGCCAGCTAGCATGCCCACTTACCCACTCCTGCTGTTTTGAGAGGGCAGAATATACTGTGCTTAAGCCGGTTCCTGCTTTCTGTGGTTCTGGTAGATATATATTCACCTGAAAAATAGTTTGTAATTATAAATGCATATACGGCCTGAAAAACTGATGAAATGCTGCTTGTGTTGATTAAAATGTTGCCTTTTAAAGCAATCAATTAATACAGCTAATTAATTAAGTAATGACATTGCAGCCCCTTCTCCAGTCACGCAGGTTCAGTTTTCTGCCTGCCCATCCCCCGTGTGAAAATCTCTGCCCATTCAGAGCCATCTGCCCATTAGATCTGCCTTTTTGTGGTGCCTAAGATGATGCTTTTAATAGATGACACGCTAGAATGATCTGCATTATTGCATGTAACAGGAACCATTAATGTGCACGCTTTTCTCCCTCCCTCAGCCTCTCCCTCCCCTCTGGCTCAATTAATTCCCATCTCTTTTCTTCTCTGCTGCTGCTGCTGATGGCGGTCGGTCGGTGCCAAAGCCACGCCGAGCGTCACAGAGCCCAATTACAGTTACTTAAACATTGTGCCGTTCCCTCCTGCACCTTTTCCCCCCCTCGCCCTGTCTAATTCTCACCTCTCATCAGCATGGAAGGTTTTGTCAGCAATGTGCGATCTGGTGAATAGAAAGGAACGGCCACTGTACTTTGTAAATGGGTGCAATTTGGGTGGGTGGGGCGGGTGGGGAGTGAGCAAGCCATGGAAGCGCTTCCCTGGACCGCTGGCCGCTCTGCATGAATGGCCGCACTTCTGGCAAAAATCCCCGTGGCCCGGTCGCCGGCATCCGGCCACAAAGGGAGGTAACTCATACACCCATTTTCATATTTCCCAGCTAATAGTTTTATGTCTCTGGACAAGCTTGAGTCGTTTCTATGAGAGCGGCTGCTAAGTAGTTTTCTGCCTTCTGTGACTCAGGTTGAATCACAAATTATCTTTAGAGCAGAGAGCGAGGGAAAGGGGGGTGGGTGGCGGCAAATCAGCATGATTAGACACCACAGGCCAGAGAAACGGGAACAGGCTGAAGGCACATCAGAGGAGGCTTCCGCTGCTTATACTTTTTAATGATATCATTAGGAGAGAACGCGCGTATTCTTTGCTCCGTGTTTCTCCACCCAAGAAGAGGCCCTTCGTTTATAATGGAGGGCTGGGCGTTGATATAGGTTTACCCATTTATACTTACTTCAGCTGAATGCCAGTCTAATGGGCAATCAGCTGCTTCTCCCCCCCCCGCCCCATATCTCCACACTTCCCAGCTATGAAGTACCAGAGAAAAAGACATGTCGCAGGTAATGTCGGAGTGTTCCCTC